ATGGGGCTGGTATGGAATTCCCAAAGCTTGGAGTGCCCACACCTCCAGGTGTGCACAGATAAACTGCAAGGCTCTGATGGGACCCATAGGCCTGGCTGAACTTTCGGCACATCTGTTCAGGACCAAAATAATATAGATGGAGGCTCGGGGTGGGGGGGGCAGGCCCAAAATTAGAGGAGACTGAAGTTCCTCTTTAGGAAAACTGCAGCATAGAACCATTTTTTCTTCTTCATGGAGAATTCAACAGGAGTAGGATCCAAAATAGGTACAAACACCTGCAGGGACAATGGCAGGTAGATCTCTGTCTCCACCTATAAATAAAATATCACTTTTTGAGTGGAATGGTTCTTTAATTGCAGGACCTAATTTTACCTTTAAGTATGTACTTGGCCTCTGGACATCGGTAATGCAGCCACTCCAGGAAGCAGTGTTCTTTCAGGGATAAGTTATACCGGTTCTCCATGAAGTCCCACAGTACAATGTCACCATAAAATGCGGCTTCCTCCCACCAATCTCTCCATCTCTCTACCTGATGGCTAGAGTTGGCGAGGAGGAACACAGGGAGGAACCTATATCCCAGAATCTTCCTCTCCTGAGCCCAAGTGTGGTGACGTAAGATGCTTCTCCTCTCAGGGGATGCTGGGTGAGATTTCACCGCCAAGATGATCAGAGGATCTGGATGTCCGGCAATATCCAGAGAGATCTATAAAGGTTCGGCATCGATACTCCTGAAGACCTGGGTACTGCCGAGAGTATTCAGACAGATTCAAGTAAAATGTCTTGTTGTACAAAAATGATGATTGGCGGAGAACTGGGATGGAGCTGTGATTGGTTATTTTTTTGTCCAGAATCTCCTGCAGCTCCAGGCGGGGATCTTCCTGCGATAAGAAATTGCTAATGACTGCTAGGACCATGGATGTCAGGATCACCGCTGCAATCAACCACCATCTGAACAGCCACTGCAGAGCAAAACATACATGAAAAATGGAGAGGAGACAATGTTACACAAGATGTCTTAAAAAGAACCCCAGGAAGCAAAATTTATATCAAAACCATCCCCTGCTTGTAGAGTGTTTTTTTCATACTGTATATTACTTTAATTTTTAAAAGTATTTATTAAAATTTTTAGACAGGTAAATAAATATATATTACTTAGACCTGACCATTACACATACACTATATTGCCAAAAGTATTATGCCCGCCCTCCAAATCATGTGATTCAGGTGTTCCAATCCCCTCCATGGACACAGGTGTATACAATCAAGCCCCTAGGCATGCAGACTGCTTCTACAAACATTGGTGAAAGAATGGGTCGCTCTCAGGAGCTCAGTGACTCCAAGCGTGGTCCCGTGATAGGTGGCCACCTGGGCAATAAGTCCATCCGTGACATTTCCTGGCTACTAAATATTCCACACTCAACTGTTAGTGGGATTATAACAAAGTGGAAGCCACTGGGAATAACAGCCACTCAGCCACCAAGTGGTAGGCCACGTCACATGACAGGGCGGGGTCAGCGCATGCTGAAGCGCACAGTGCGCTGAAGTTGCCAACTGTCTGCAGAGTCAATAGCTAAAGACATCCAAAATTGGTGTGGCCTTCAGATGAGCCCAACAACAGTGCGTAGAGAGCTTCATGGAATGGGTTTCCATGGCCGAGCAGCTGCATCCAAGCCTTCCATCACCATGTGCAATGTAAAGCGTTGAATGCCGGAATGCCGTGGTGTAAAGCACGCCGCCACTGGACTCTAGAGCAGTGGAGACGTGTTCTCTGAAGTGACCAATCACACTTCCTTGTCTGGTAATCCGATAGACATGTCTGAGTTTGGCGGTTGCCAGGAGAACGACACTTTCCTGACTGCATTGTGCCAAGTGTAAAGTTTGGTGGAGGGGGGATTATGGTGTGGGGTTGTCTTTCAGGGGTTGGGCTTGGCCCTCTAGTTCCAGAGAAAGGGAACTCTCAAGGCATCATCTTACCAAGACATGTTGAACAATTTCATGCTCCCAACTTTGTGGGAAGAGTTTGGGGATGGCCCCTTCCTGTTCCAACATGACTGCGCACCAGTGCACAAAGCAAGGTCCATAAGACATGGAGGAGCCAGTTTGGGGTGGAGGAACTTAACTTGCCTGCACAGAGTCCTGACCTCAACCCCATAGAACACCTTTGGAATGAATTAGAGTGGAGACTGCAAGCCAGGTCTTCTCGTCCGACATTAGTGCAGATGGTCAAACATGATTAAACCTTCACATAGACACCCTCCTAAACCTTGTGGACGGCCTTTCCAGAAGAGTTGAAGCTGTTATAGCTGCAAAGGGCGGGGCCAACTCCAATATTGAACCCTACGGACTAAGACTGGGGGGCATTAAAGGTCATGTGTGCGGAAAGGGCGGGGCCAACTCAATACTGAACCCTACGGACTAAGGCAGGAGTCCCAATACTTTTGGCAATATAGTGTATATGAGTTGGCCATCTCATTCCAAAACCATGGTCATTATCAACTTCCCATCTGATGTACACACAGTATATAAAGGTCCTGACAGTAAGTGGTAATGTCTGGATCATGGCTGCAGCTGCCTCCCAGTAGTTATTTTCATCAGGTGATTGTCTGTCATGTAAAAGTGATCAAGGTGGCTGTAGGACTTTTTACAGTGTTCTAAACCTCCTGCCACTGGCCACAATGGTTCCCTGGCTCTTCTGTCCCTCGCAGCCCAGGATTATGGTAAGCAGTCAGGGTGGCTGCCCATGGAGGAGAAGGAGAAAAATCCAGTCTTCTCTGTGATGGATGATCCCAGGATCAGTGAGGATTTAATTGCTTCCAATTTCAGAGCCGTTTATTAACAAGCTGTTGCAGCCAGGGAAGCATCTAAACAAGAGAAATCCATGCTTGGTTAGTAGCTTTTGAGGGCAGGGGAAAACATCAGGGGTCTAACAGACCCCTGGGGGTTTATTTACTAAAGCTGGAGAGTCCAAAATCAGACTCCCTTCTGCATAGAAACCAATCAGCTTCTAACCTCAGCTTGTTCAATGAAGCTTTGGCAATGAAACCTGGAAGCTGATTGGTTTTATGAAGAAGTGAGTCTGATTTTGGACTCTCCAGCTTTAGTAAATAACCCCTGATGTCTCCATAAAGAGGACATATCAGCACCCAAAAAGCTATCATCACAAGAAGACTTGTTCACCCCCTTGTGATAGCAATAAAAGTTGAATGAACATGTGAGTACCTGTAATAAAGTGAAGCATTACCACAAATGTCAAGTGAGAGCAGTCATTTTAGGGCAATAATGCAAGATAGACTTGAAACTGATAACCTGTAAAGGTTTTTAAAGTGTCACCTTTGTGCAAAAATAGGTATTGTAGTTTGTTGCCATTTCACAAAAAATGTAAAAAAGTGCCCCAGTTAATAGAGAGTTGCCCTCATTAAAGGCCTAACATCCTCCACTCTTCTGGAAGGCTTTCCAAAGATTTTGGAGAGTGTCTGTGGGGGAATTTTCACTCATTCATGACAGGGCCAGATCCAGCCTATCTGATCTGGGGGTGCATTATAAAAAGTTTTGGGGGCCTAATGTCAATAGTGGGACAGAGATACAGGGAATCAATATTACCCATTCACTCAGCACACCTCTGTATCACAAGTCACAACCTGGAAATAACGCCTGACAAGTAGTGCAAAGATGGTGCAGGGGTGAACAGTGAACGCTAGTATGTATTAGGCTGTCATTACACCAGTATTATTAACCAGTTGCCGCAGGGGCAGACTGACAACTCATGGGACCCCCGGGCAATAGGGGATCATGGGGCCCTTGTGTCCTTGCCCACACTAAAAACACACCCAAAAAAAACACTATGAAAGGTACCAGGGGCATCTCATGGGGCCCCCTACTGACCCCGGGCCCTCAGGCAGTGCCCGAGTGCTCGAATGGGCAGTCCACCCCTGCGCCCGGCCTATAGTCAAATGATGGCTGGATGCGCAGCACGTCTCCGGTAGGGCGTCATATGACATCCTTCCTGGATCGCAGTTCTCGCGTGCCCGCAAGCTGCACTGTGGCGAGATCTGTCACCAGCCGTGTACACCTCGGACACGGCCGATGACAAATCTGTATACCAGCCCCATTGCCAGTACCATGAGTCCTGCTGTGACCAATCACAGCAGGTCACATGACAGTTGTATACAATAGACGGCTTCATTCATGCCATCCATTGTATACAAGTGTGTCTAGCTGTGAATGGTCACAGAGATCACATGCACAGGCTGGGCCAATCACAGCTAGTCACAACAAAAAAACCTGAATGAATCAATTTCATTCAGTTAATTGAAATTCTTTGCTATAAGCAATCCAATTGTGTAAAAAAAATACTGATCACTTCCCCAAAGTAGTACAATGTCACTATGGTAACATTATACTACTTTGGTCATAGTGTAATATGAAAAAAAAAATCTTTAAAAAAAAAAAACAAATAGAAAAAAAATGTAAAAATATAAAATAAATAAAAAAATAAATCGAATTTTTAAAAAAAAATTATAATTTTTTTTCATACTGTCACCAGTCAGTGCCCCTGATCACCGCCACAACCAGTCATATGATGATGCTGTACTTCACTGGTGACAGTGTGAAAAAAAAACTTTAAATTTCTTAATTTTCCAAACAAATATGACAAATTGTGAAATGCGTCGGACTGTCTACTTTGCCAAAAGGGATCATTTGGGGGATATCTGTACTGTTCTGACATTTGGGGGATATCTGTACTGTCCTGACATTTGGGGGTATCTATACTGTTCTGACATTTGGGGGATATCTGTACTGTCCTGACATTTGGGGGATATCTGTACTGTCCTGACATTTGGGGGGTATCTGTACTGTGCTGACATTTGGGGGATATCTGTACTGTTCTGACATTTGGGGGATATCTGTACTGTTCTGACATTTGGGGATATCTGTACTGTTCTGACATTTGGGGGATATCTGTACTGTCCTGACATTTGGGGGTATCTGTACTGTTCTGACATTTGGGGGATATCTGTCCTGTCCTGACATTTGGGGGGATATCTGTACTGTCCTGACATTTGGGGGGATATCTGTCCTGTTCTGTCATTTGGGGGATATCTGTCCTGTTCTGACATTTGGGGGGTATCTGTCCTGTCCTGACATTTGGGGATATCTGTACTGTCCTGTCATTTGGGGGATATCTGTACTGTCCTGACATTTGGGGGATATCTGTACTGTCCTGACATTTGGGGGATATCTGTACTGTCCTAACATTTGGGGGATAGCTGTCCTGACATTTGGGGGATACCTGTACTGTTCTGACATTTGGGAGATATCAGTCCTGTCCTGACATTTGGGAGATATCTGTACTGTACTGTCATTTGGGGGATATCTGTACTGTCCTGACATTTGGGGGATATCTGTACTGTCCTGTCATTTGGGGGATATCTGTACTGTCCTGACATTTGGGGGGATATCTGTACTGTCCTGACATTTGGGGGATATCTGTACTGTTCTGACATTTGGGGGATATCTGTACTGTTCTGACATTTGGGGGATAATCTGTACTGTCCTGACATTTTGGGGGATATCTGTACTGTTCTGACATTTGGGGGATATCTGTACTGTTCTGACATTTGGGGGGATATCTGTACTGTCCTGACATTTGGGGATATCTGTCCTGTCCTGACATTTGGGGGATATCTGTACTGTCCTGACATTTGGGGGATATCTGTACTGTCCTGACATTTGGGGGGATATCTGTACTGTCCTGACATTTGGGGGATATCTGTACTGTCCTGACATTTGGGGGATATCTGTCCTGTCCTGACATTTGGGGGGATATCTGTACTGTCCTGACATTTGGGGGATATCTGTACTGTCCTGACATTTGGGGATATCTGTACTGTCCTGACATTTTTTGGCCTCAAGAAATTAGATTACTTCAGGATTGATCAATTTTCAGATCTATCCCATAGTTTGTGAACTCTATAACTTTTCCTACAGACTAAATGATAAATACTGATTTGAGTTATTTTCACCAAAGACATGTAGCAGAATACATCTCGGCTAAAATTTATGAATAACAATAATTTTATTTGCAAACTTTCATAACAGAAACAAAGAAACTTGTTTTTTTTTCAAAATGTTCGGCCTTTTTTTTTGTTAATTTAGCAAAAAATAAAAACCCAGTGGTGGTTAAATACCACCAAAAGAAAGCTCTAGTTGTATGAACAAAATGATAAAATTTTAGTATGGATATAGTGTTGCATGTGACCGCGCAATTGTCATTCAAAATTGTGTGAACGCTGAAACCTGAAAATTGGCCTGGGCAGGAAGGGGATAAAAGTGCCCGGTATGGCAGGGATTAAACAGAACCTGGGTATCATTTAATCAATTGCCCCTTTACATCAGGTGTCCCTATCAAAGTCCTCCCTCACATCAGGGTTCTCATAAGAGTCCCTTTTTACATCAGGTGTCCCCCATCAGAGTGCCCCCTTGCATCTGAATTAGAGTAGTTCCTTACATCAGCTGTCCTATCCAAATGCCCCCCTACATTAACTATCCCCATCAAGAGTCCCCCTTACAGTAACTATCCCCATCAGAGTCCCCCATACATCAATTGTCCCCATCAGAGCCCCCCTTACATTAACTATCGCCATCAGAGTCCCACTTACATCAACTATCCCCATCATTGTCCCCCTTACATCAATTGTCCCCATCAGAGTCCCCCTTACATCCATGCCTTAGGATGCACTCCTAAAGATCTGGATGGGCACAACTAAAATCTGGGGAGAGCACAGCCCGAACCAGCATCCCCTTAGATCCGGGCCTGGTTTGTGAGGTTAGATTTTGATGAGAAGGCCTGGCTCACAATCAGAATTTCAATTCAACCTAAAGGTGTTCAGTAGGATTGAGGTCCTCACACCAAGCTGGCCAAACCATATCTTTAGGGAGCTGGCTTTGTGCACAGGGGCAAAATTTTGCTGGAATAAAAAAGAATATTTCCTAAATTGTTATCATGAGGTTGGAAAAACACAATTGTCTATAGCAGCAATGGGCAAACTACGGCCCGCGGACCTTTTAATCCCGGCCCGCGGGAGCTAGGCTCCCGCTAGGCTCCTCTCACAGTCCGCCCTGAAGGGACCGGTGTAGCATGAAAATCTGTCTCCTATGAGGATCTGTCCCCCTCGACGTAATCTGCGCATGTGCCGGAGGGGGGGATCGCCGATCGTGTCTGCTAATGCCTGAAACTGGCACATGCGCAGATACGTCGAGGGGGACAGATCCTCATAGGAGACAGATTTTCATGCTACACCGGGAACGGCGCGGGGAACACGGCGAGAGGAACGCGCGGAGCAAAGGTAAGTGAATTGACACAGGGGGACTTGGGGACTTAATATGGGGGATGAATTAATATGGGGAATGAATTACTATAGGGGGGATGAATTACTATATGGGGGGTGAATTACTATAGGGGGGATGAATTACTATATGGGGGATGAATTACTATAGGGAGGATGAATTACTATATGGGGGATGAATTACTATATGGGGGATGAATGTACTATATGGGGATGAATTACTATGGGGGATGAATTACTATATGGGGGATGAATTACTATGGGGGATGAATTACTATATGAGGGATGAATTACTATGGGGGATGAATTACTATATGGGGGATGAATTACTATATGGGGGATGAATTACTATGGGGGATGAATTACTATATGGGGGATGAATTACTATATGGGGGATGAATTACTATGGGGGGTGAATTACTATATGGGGGATGAATTACTATATGGGGGATGAATTACTATGGGGGATGAATTACTATGGGGGATGAATTACTATGGGGATGAATTACTATATGGGGGATGAATTACTATGGGGGGATGAATTACTATATGGGGGATGAATTACTCTATGGGGGGATGAATTACTATATGGGGGATGAATTACTATGGGGGATGAATTACTATATGGGGGATGAATTACTATATGGGGGATGAATTACTATGGGGGATGAATTACTATATGGGGGATGAATTACTATGGGGGATGAATTACTATATGGGGGATTAATTACTATGCTTACTATGGGGAATATTACTATATTTACTATGGATGACACATACACATCATTCATCTACTCTTGGTCCGGCCCCGGGTCCAATATATGAACCCATTGCGGCCCTCAAGTCAAAAAGTTTGCCACCCCTGGTCTATAGTATTGTGTGTTATAGTTTTAACAGTACCATTAACTGGAAATACCTGAACTCTATCATTTGTCACGGTCGGGAGTCAGGCCCGGAGACCGGTAGCTATAGCAGTAGAGAGGGTCCCATCAACCAGCTGGATAAACACACAAGCAGGTCACCATGGTGGATGATGTGAGCTCATCTGAGGTGTAGGGTCAAAGCAGTAACCAGTGTTCACCATTAAACTCCTGATGGTGGAGATGAATTTTGCTGTGTGTTAGTACCAGGTCATGGTTCTCAGGATCGTCCCTCCATGAGGTGCCCAAGCTGGCGTCCAGTAGCCAATATAGCAAGTAGAGATCAAACAGAAGCCTAAACAAGCCAAATATAAAGTACAAGTGCTGATATCTTGTTCCTTTGTAAGTTGGGGTCAAGTGGAAGCATAGTAGAGGAACAAAAGCCAACGGTTTGGGAATGAGTTTGTAATGGACAGGAGGACAGCAGCAGGTACGCAAAGGAGCAAGATATCAGCTGGATAGAACATAATAATCCACAGATAAGAAGTCCCAGAGACATTGGGCTATAAGGGATAGTTCATCTTTTAAATCCTCTTGCCGTCCGCCTGCTGTTTATAAACGGCAGGGCAGCGGTGGCAGTCCAGGGGCGGGTTGCCGTTCCTAAATGCACCCTGCCTTTTCTAGCTGTGCGCGCTCCCTGGCGAGGCACGCACCACCGCGATCCGCATCACGCCCGCTGTCCTCAGGACACATTGAAACCAGCCGAATCGTCGGACGGGACCTCCGTACGAGATCCCGATCATGTTGTTCACCGATTGGCGAATCAGTGATCACATGCAAAAGTAGTAAGCAAGATGTCACTTCTGACATCATTGCTTACTACGTGTGAAATCTGTGAATATCACAGAGGTCACAATGTACCAGGCTATTTAACAACAGCCTTGTACCATGTGACAAACTGTTAGACCAATCACAGCTCACTCAGCTATTTCTCAATGACCTGCAAAAATTGCAGCCAGAGAGGAGGAGAAATGATTTGCTTTTACATCCTATAATGGTGTAAAAGCAATCAGTGGAAAAAAAAAAAAAGAAAATCATCCTCACCGCTCCACAGATAGTACAGTAGTCACCATGGTCGCACACTGTAACTTTGCTAGGGTGATAGTATGTAAAAAAAAAAAATAAATAATAATATAGAATATAAAAAATAATAAAATAAAAAATATAAAAAACAATGTTTAAAAAAATTATAATTTTTGGGTTATAAACGAATTGGATTTTTTTTTTTTACCTTAAAAAAAATAACGAATAAACATTTTGGCCAAGATATAAAGATGGAAATATTATTTATTTGCAAAATTTTATATAAAAAAAAACACTTTTTTTCTATACATTTTTGGACATTTTCATTTACAATAGTAAAAATAAATACAGAATGCCCAGTGGTGAAAAAATACCCACCAAATAAAGCTTTATTCTGTCTCAAAAAAAATGGTAAAAAATTCATATGGGTACATGGTAGAACACTAGTGCATGACCGCCAGCAATTATCATTCAAAGTGTGATAGCGCTGAAAGCTGAAAATTGCCCTGGACAGGTAAGTGGTTAAAAAAAATAGTATATTTCACATCTTTTTGCACAGAAAAATGTGCATTATTTTTTTTTATTAGGAGACCTTCAAAGGCATCTGCACTGTTGAATCAACAGATGCAGTGCAATGCAAGGTCCTTGCAGACTGTCCAGTGTAAGCTGGCCTTCTGCTCGTACCTCTTATGGGAAGCAGTTACACAATGACTAGGAAGAAAAAAAAATCGATGAACTACTAGAGTGCTCACAACAGCACCCTGGTAAGTTCAGTGAGAACTACAAGCCGACATCTGCAAAGGCTGATGGTAGTTGTATGTTCTCTGATTTTTAAAAAAATTGGAACTGTGGGGTGCGGGGGGAAGAATCCCCAGCCCCCACTTGTCACAGGGAGCCCGGATCAGGGCTGAGAATGCAAAGCAGGAATCTGTTAACATTATAATTAAGTTAGACGGGAAAGAAATGAACAAATTCGATTCGACTGATTCGGCGAATTCTGTGGACAATATTCGATTTCGAGTCGAATAAATTCGCTATGAATTTAATCTTAAAAAAGGTTTTCTAAGCTTCAGAGAGACTTCTAATATTAGGTGCAGAACACCTGTATCCTTTAATTTAAATCCCTTGGAGTCTGATGGGGAAGAGAAATAATACTGTCAGTCAGTATGACAATGACAGATGAGTGCCGTCGATTCTTAGGAATCACCGCACACTTCACTCATTTGGCATCACGGGCCCCAAAACCAGAGTGTGGCACCACAGTGTGGCGGTGGAGGCAGCAGCAATGGGAGGCCATTACAGCATCCCTATGACAAAAAATGGAAACACACCAGCAGTTTGTAGACCTGTAAAGTGGCACATGGCATGTGGTGGAGATGAGAGACAGAAAGCAGCAATGGGAGGCCGTACAAGAGGACCCCATGACACACACTCTGGACCTGCTAGCACAGCATGGGTGAGGAGGCGGTACAGGGGCCCAATGACAGATTACGGCCTGCAGCAGCATGAAGGAGTCGGTACAGGGGCCCATGGCAGATTTACGGGCCTGGCAGCAGCAATATGGAGGCCACAGGGACCCATGA